GCGCGCCCGCACCTTGCCCTGCGCCCCGTGCCCAGATCGCCATCGTGGGATGGCATCTCGCAAATATTTATATTCTTCAGCGCCACGGCAGCCCGCGTCCACATTAGACGTCCTAATCCTGCCACTTTAAATAGATGAATTAATAAAGCAAACGAGCGGCTAATAAGCTGACTGTCCTGCCTTTTGGAGGTGGGGGGAGGCCTGGAAAGTGCGCCAAATTTGTTTGCAGTGGATCAAGGCGAGCCGCCTCTGCTCCACTTTCTTTATCTTAATTCCGACTTGAAAAGATATAATTATCTAGTTTGAACAGAGCGGCTATCAAATCCTTCTCTGGGCCGGGAAGGGGGGCGTTGGAGTGGATTGCGGGCCTCTGAGCCGCTCCGTGCAGCCGGAGATAGCGCGTAATGAAGATGTGGAGGCCTGAGATACAAAGGGCATTAACCTCATTAGCATGAAACCTTTTCTTCTTACCATTGTGGGACCCTTTCAGCCGCCTAATCCCCCCTATTTTCAAAGCTTGGTTTGTAATAAAGCTTTTAGGTGGGTTTTTTTTTTCAAAGCTAATGGTATTCTCTGATGATTTTATTGCTGTTACACTCACTACATAGGACGTTTACCAAAAAAAAATCTTAGTCACCCCCCCCCAATTTCTTGTACTTAAAAAAAAAGTATATGGTTCTGCAGAAATCAACTTTGTATCAAATTGAGACATTTTCTTCTGGAAAAGCCAGCCTGAATTTTAGCAGGTCTGTCCTCCAGGTCCCAGGTACTCTGGGTTTGGGCAAGTGGGTAGAAGGGTAACTTGTCTAGACAGAAGCATGGCGTAATATAACAGTGACTGAGAGAACTCCGGACAGCCTTCGTCACTAAGGTCTTGCTGCCAACGGGGCCGAAATCCCCACTTAAGTTTCCCGTGATACCCAGGGCAGCACCTGTCCCTTTACTTCCAGAGACAAGCCTGGGTCACCTGAGGCGGCCCCCTCTCACCTCCTCCCCCCACAACCTCCTGCACCCAAGTCTCCCCACAACATATACACCTTCCCAGGAGTCTGCGTGAAAATGAGCACCCGGAACAGCCAGGGTTCTGGAGAGGAAGGGACACGAGGTGGGGGGGGGGGAGGAGAGACAGGCCGAAATAAAGTAAAAAGAGGGAGAAAGATCAAGAATGCATTCCACTTTAAAAGAGAGGAGGGGATGGGGGGGGGGAGAAAAATTTCCATAGTGCCCTATAGTCCCCACACGTGCACAGAATGTCTAATCTTAACTTTTCAAGGCAGGATGTTAACAAAGCTTGTATTTTTGCCCTGCATTGTAACTTGGCCTTATCACAGTGTAAAGGGTGGGGAGATTGTCCTAAATTATGTCCAGGCAGCCCCCCTGGATCTGTGGATTAAGAGATTAAAGGAGACCACTGGGCAAGGCCTCCTCTCTCCCCTTCATATTCCTGGTATGATAATTGCTTAAACTGATTTGCACTTTCACAAAAGCTCGCAGGACGCTTTGTAGCTCGAACAGAGCAGACGAGGTTTCTCTATCAATGGAAATAAAACTGATTAATGCAGCCTATCAGGATAAGAAGCAAATGAAGCATGCAAAAACAACCCGTACCCCAGAAGGGGGGGAGGCCGGAGGACGGGGGAGCGAAGTTTCCTCCAAGACTGGTTACAACTTTTAATGTTGAAATCCAGAGGTGGAGGTTTCCCAGGACGCTCCGCTGGCTGTATGAGGCTGCTGAGGACCTTGGGCCTGCCTTAGCACCCTCGGCAGACAGGGGACAGAGGGCGAGGAAAGAAAGAAGGGAGAGAGAGAGAGAGAGAGACGGAGAGATTGAGAGAGATTTGTACTTTGGGGTTTAAAAGTCAAAAAACAGTTTCAAAGTCGCAGGGTTCCGATTCTGCAAGGTGTCTTCCCCAATCCCGGAGGAATATTCTTCCACACAGAACTATATGTTTAGATTTTTAAAAGCTGACTCGAGAGGTTGCAAGAGGTAGGCATTTTTAACCTGCCATTGAAATTAAACTCCCTCCGTAGGCCTTGCAATGGGCGACCCTCTGGTTGGAAAAACTTTTTCTCCCATCCCTTTTCTGAAGGACTTAAGTTTTCCTAATCCTCTCCCCTTTCCACCCTCATCTCTCTTTAAAATGCCCAAGAATCCATCAGTCTGGCCCTTCTGGGGGTGGGGAGGCTGGGTTTCTTGAGCCTAGTTGGGGAAGGACCACACTCAAATTACTGGACATACTTTTTACAGAAAAAGTTGACTTTGGTTTCCCAAGACAACTACTCTGAGGGCATATTGATAAATCTTTATTGACAAAATATTGACATTGACATACTTCTTGGAAGTATATAGTGTGTTAGAATTCTAACAAATTAACACAAAACACAAAAATATTTACATTCTGGTATAGAAGACATTAAGGAAGCGTTTGTCACTCTCTTTAGTAAGTCTATGATCTTGGAATAGAAACTCAGTGCTTGAAAACTTGCCGCCATGTCTTTGGCCACACTTAGCATCATCCCCGCTAACTACAGTCCTTCGGTTTTTTGCAATCGATCGATTTAAAGTTTGGAATGGCCTTTGCAGTCAATGGTTGAACTCAGCCAATATCTCCAACCTCTAAAAGGAGTTTGCTTCATGATTTTAAGCCTTGGGATGTTAGGAAAGGGAATGTCCAAGAAATAGAATTAATTTAGGTGTTTTTTTTTCCAACACAATTCCTGACTCCTCTTGTGGGCACCCTCCCCAGCCACCCCCAGCCCCCCATCCGGCTCCCCATTTCTCGGTAAGAGGACCACTATCGCTGAGCCTACTAATTTAGCTTTCACAATCACTTTGACATCAGAAGGTATCAAAACGTGTTTACAGACTGCACATTTCTCGAAAATCAAAACTCAAAATCAAAAGCACACAGAACCTGTCTTTAAAAGTAAAAGAAAGTTACAATTCATTTTCTGTCTTTAGACACCATTCGCCCAACAACTGCTACATGCAATTCAAGTTTTTGGACATGTGTGGGATGGGGCTGGATATGAAATTTCGATCATCGTTATTATTACTAATTCTTTTTAAAGACTGGGGGGGGGAACACTGTGAAGTGCAAAATAAAAAGTCCTGTGCCTGGTTGTTGTTTTTTTTCTTTTATCATCATTATTATTATCTTTTTTACAAAGAAAAATAAAGTCGGACTGCGATAAACGGAATACCTGCCAATCATCTTGTCTCGCTGGTTTGGCCTTTGACTGACAGCTCCCCTTGTCAGAGCGCCTGCCGCTTTGCCACCTTTAGATCTCTCTCTCTCTCTCTCTCTCTCTCTCTCTCTCATTCTCTCTCTCTCTCAGCTGCCTCTTTAGACAAGGGTTGCATGTTGATCAAGGAGCCTCCATCCTCTGCCATCATGGCGCGGCCTCCGATCAGGGCCCTGCGCCCTCGCGGCCCAAAGTCTGCGACGCGCTCTCCGCTGTCCCTCCGACTCCCTCTCCCCTTCTCGGCGAATGTGGTTTGTTTTTGTTTCGTAGGGTGTTTACTTCTTCCCCGCCTCTCCCTGTCCTCTGTTTTGCTCCGCTCTGTCCGTTTCCGTGGGGTTCGGGTTGTGTTTTTAATCGTCCGAGGTCACGTCTATTTCCTCCGGGCTGGCCTGCTTGGTGGCGATTCTCCACCGGTTAATGTGATGCGTCCCTTTTTTCTTTTGTTGCGAATCTGAACCTTCTTCCTCCAGCTTCTGTCTTTTGAACTTCGTCCTCCGGTTCTGAAACCATACTTTTACCTGCGGGCCAGACGCAGAAGGGGCGCGTTAGTTCCTCCACAGCGCCCTCCTACCTCTCCGCCTGCGCCCGGCAGGCCCCGTCCGTCCGAGACGCTCAAGTCCGGGCCCCGTGTGCGTCCCGCAGCAGCCTGTGCACAGCCTCCCTTAGGGGAGCAGAGCTGCGGAAGCCTGGCTCCCCGCCCTGGGTCTCCCGAGTCACTTTCCCGGCTCGGGACCCCAGTGCACAGTCCTGCTCACCTTGCCCTGAAGGGGACACCCTCAGTCCGCTGAGAATAGAAGCCAGGGAAACCCTTATAAAAATCCTAAGAAAAGTAAAAAGCGACCTGTCCCAAACCTCCTCTCCCTGGCCCGTGCATGCGGGAAAGACTCCGCTGCAGCTGCCCCAGCTCCCTGCAGGGCCCAATGTGCTTTCTCTTTTCTGTGCGGTTCCGGGCGTTGCCTATACATAGCACTTCCTGTGCCAGGCCCGGGCCCTGGGTAGGCAGTCAGGTCTGCCTGAGCTTCCCTCTCCTGGCCCAGGATTCTTGCAGGTGAGCGAGAGTGGATGCTAAGGGGTGCTGGAGGCAGCCAGGAGGGACGCGGGGTGCAGCAGCCTGGGGACCAACCCAGCTCTTCCACTGCAGTTAGGGAAAGAGGCTCAAAAGTGAAAGCTTCTGAAAGACCTCAGGACAGATGGGAAGAAAGAAACTGAGACAGAGGAGAGAAGCGAGAGAGAGAGAGCCTTCTCTTGCCCCCTCCTGACCAGCCCCAAGACAGGGCTGGGCCAGCTTCCCACCCTGGTCACATCCCTTAGCACCGGGCTCCTCTGGCTGGCAGCCTGGCCTCAGAGCGGCTGCTAGAGGTCCGGGGAGCAATGAGGAAAGGACTTACTGGGACTGCAATCCCCATCGCCCTCTGGGGAACCTGGGCAGTGGGTCTCTATCCAGTGACCAGACCAGACAGTAAGGCCACCCTAACTTCCCACCTGGTGAGGTGCAGGTAAGGAAAATGGAGGCGGCCGCACCTCCCCTGCCCGCGGACCTGATCGCACCGCCACAGGCCGCTGAGGTCGGCTCCACTCCCGCCTCGGAGAGTCCAGCCCAGGTCCCAGCTCGTTCTCCCCAACAGCCCCAATCCCCCCAAGTGCCCCGTGAACAAGCGGAGCTGGAACAAGGCTGCCTGTAATTTGCTTTGAGTTTGCTAATTGAGGGGAGGACGGTTCATTTCTCCCGGCGCTCGCCCAAGGCGCGCGTCCGTGCGCTCCGGGCTTGACACGCACACAAAGACAGCGGGCGGCGTGGGCAGCGAGGCGGACAAAGACCACCGCCGCCTCGACGCTCCAGGATGAATCAGCCCGGCCGGCCGCGCCTGGTGCCGGCCCCGCACCTACCCGCCAGGCCCTCCTCGGTTTTGTCCGGGGGAACGTCTTAAAACAAAAGCCTGGACCTCTTTGCACCGCCCAGAAACACTGTTACAACTTAATCCGCACGAAAACGTTACTGTTTGCCGGGAACTCTGACCCCACCCTGCGGCTCCGCGTACAGTAGCGCCTACTGTAGCCCCGAGCCCCCTCCCCGCCCCTGGGCCGGCCAGAGCCGGGACCCCACGGCGCAGGCAGGGCCTGTCCCTTCTCCGCAGCCTTGCAGCTCTGATTCTCCAATTTAGGGACGCGCCCACGATGCACGGCCTCCGCCTTCCGACTCTCGGATCCCTTCGTGGGGAGTAATCGGAGTGAGCAGGGGTCTGTGTTCGCACAGAACTTGCCTTTAACCAATTCCCAGACTTCTCCAGCTTCCACACCCAACACTCCGACACCCCCACTGTTCTCTCCCTCTTCCTGGACCCCAGCCGGGTCCCCAGACTCTCGCCAAAAGTTTCACCAGAAGTGCAACTGTGTTAGCCAGGAGCTAAGTCCAGCGGACAGAAGGAGCGATCCAGGCCGCCCTCCCCCCGCCCCAGCGCCTGGGGCAGGTAGACTCCTGCGGTCCCATCTGGAGACCCAGGAAGCCTGGCACCTGGAAACGTCTACATCCTGAGCGGGGGGCGTGGAACCAACTCCCGGGCCCTTTGGCGACGGCCCTCTCTGAGCTCGGCACTTGTGTGCCAGCTGCGTGGGTCCCGAGATTGGGGTGGGGGTCGCCGCGCCTGGGCCCCACTCACCTGAGTTTCCGTGAGGCTGAGGCTGTGTGCCAGCTGCTTCCTCTCGGCGCCCACCACGTAGTGGTTTTTCTCGAAGGCGTGTTCCAGCCTCAGGAGCTGGGACGGGGAAAAGGCGGTTCGGATCCGCTTCGGCTTTCGGGCCAGCGCGTTGTGCAAAAGGAAGCTCTCGGGGCTTGTGTCGTTCCCTGCGGGGGACACAACGTAAGTCCCATTAGGGAGGGGGCCGCGCGCTTCTCAGGAGACGGGCTGGCGGGACACCGCGCTCCGGGCCTGTGCGTAGCCCCGGCGTCTC